CTCGCTCTTGCTCAGGCTGGTCTCGAACTCCTGACCTTGAGCGATCCACCCGCCTCAGCCTCCCAGAGTGCTAGGATTACAGGCGTGAGCCACCGCTCCCGGCCTAAAATTACGTTTTTAATAAATAACTGCTTAAATAAAGTGTAAAGCTATACTTGAAGATGCATAAACTGTTTATCGTCTCCTCCCTCGTCCCCGAACTTAAGCAGCGGGGACGCCCCTAGCCCAGCCCTGGCCCCGTCGGACGTCGCGCTCAGGCAGTGCCGCGGACAGCCCGGCCGGCGCGCGAGGACCCCGCACGGCCAAGATGGCGGCGCCCGCGAGACAAGCGCGTAGCCTCCTCGGGCTGGCGGCGACCCTGGGCCCGGGCTCCCGTGGCTACCGGGCGCCGCCCCCCCCGCGCCGCTCGCCGGGACCCTGGTGGCCAGACCCGGAGGACCTGCTGACCCCACGCTGGCAGCTGGGGCCGCGCTACGCGGCCAAGCAGTTCGGGCGTCACGGCGACGCCTCCGGGGTGGCCCCGGGTTCGCTGTGGCCGTCGCGGGAGCAGCTGCGAGAGCTGGAGGCCGAGGAGCGCGAGTGGTACCCGAGCCTGGCGGCCATGCAGGAGTCGCTGCGAGTGCAGCAGCTGGCCGAGGAGCAGAAGCGTCGGGACAGGTGCGTGTGTGCAGGCACCCGTGGGGTCTGAATGCTGTAGGTTTACGTGCATACTCAGCCGGCCGCAAAACAAACCCTGAATAAGTGCATTTAACCACTCATCAGCAAATCTTTACTGAGCGCTTACAGTATGCAACGCCCCGTCCCAGAAGGGAACGGAACAGGCAAGATAATTTCAGAGGGCGACAGAGGACCACCAGGAAACCACCATAAAACAGGGTGAAGAGTGCATGCTTGAAGGCAACTTGGAGTTCTCAGGCCTCTCTTGAGGAGGTGGTGTTTAAGCAGAGACCGGAGTAACCCAGACATACCCTTAGGGACATCTCAGGAAGAACATTCCTGGTAGAGGCAACAGCCAGTGCAGGGACCCTGAGGTAGGATGTGTCTTAAGGAACAGCCAGGAGACCAGTGTGGCTGGGCAAAGTGGGAAGTGAGGGCAGGGAGGTGATGGGGCCTGGAATCAAGCAGAGAGGTTGGATTTGGAGGCAGATCTGAAGGATTACATTTGAGGAAAATAGAAGACCAAGGTCATCTACAGCGTGCCACTCTTGGGGGGGCGTGGGGTGGAGAGCAGCTCGTGTGTTCCTCCTGTTTGAACTTCTTGTCTTTCCAATGCCTTAAGAGGAAGAGGGGATTGCCTTCATTTGCTTTATTTTTTATTTCAGCATATTATAGGGGTACAAATGTTTAGGTTACATGTATTGCCTTTGCCCCAACGGAGTCAAAGCTTCAGCTGTGACCATCCCCCCCAGACAGTGCACACCGCACCCAATGAGTACCCTCATTTTAGAGATGAGAAAACTCAGGGAGGTGGAGTCACTCAGGCAGTGCAAGGTGGAGCAGGATCTCCCATCTACCCCTCCCCAGCCGGGTGACCCTGACATAGGGTTTAATTCTTCCAGCTTCACTTTCTTTTTCCCATTCACACATGAGAGCTTCACTTTTCTAATCCTCAAAAATGGGGCTGTGACTGGTACCTACGAACGCATAGGACTGGAGGGAAATGTCTATTTCTTGCTTTCCCTCCTGTGCCTAGAATTGGGCCTGGCATACAGTAGGTGCTCAGTGATGTCTATGGAATAATGGAGCAGGTTATCTATAGGAGTGGCCCAGCATGGTGTGTGGCACTCAGACGGCTCAGTTGACAGCTCAGTGAAATGTTGAATTTACTTGGCCTTGGCCCCTGAGAACTTAACCCACCCTGTGATCAAGTTCATGCACAAGTAACTTTCTCTTCATCTCTTGCTGTTTCTTTACTTGTCAAGGACCTTTCCTGACAGTGAATGGCAGTGATTACTTTTCTTCCCCACCCCCCTTTTTTTTAAATCTCCATGGGGGAGTTGGGAGAGGCGGCTGTGGGTAGGATGTGGGTGGATGGGCTCTGCCTTGGCTGAATGTGGCTGTCCTCACGGCCCACCCTCCTGCCCCTGCAGGGAGCAGCACATTGCAGAGTGCATGGCCAAGATGCCACAGATGATTGAGAACTGGCGGCAGCAGCGGCGCGAGCGCTGGGAGAAGGCACAGGCAGACAAGGAGAGGAGGGCCCGGCTCCAGGCTGAGGCCCAGGAGCGTCTGGGCTACCACGTGGATCCAAGGAGCGCCCGTTTCCAGGAGCTGTTACAGGACCTAGAGAAGCAGCAACGCAAGCGCCTCAAGGAGGAAAAACAAAGAAAGAAGAAGGAGGCGAGAGCTGCTGCAATGGAAGCTGCTGCGGCCCAGGACCCAGCAGCCTCTGGGGCACCCAGCTCATGAGCTTTGTCCTTTCCCAATAAAGCCTGCCATCTGACAGTCTCCTGAAGAGCTCTGTATCCTCTTTCAAGGTGTGCCTCTAAGCCCCCTGCTTCCTACTCCAGCACCTGGGCTGGGGAGTCCCCCACCCAGCTCTGCTCACACGGGGACTCTAGCCCATGCCGACTGACTGGGGCTTTCGGGGGAGAGAAAGGGGGATACGATGGGCAAATAATGGAGGAGCAGATGGCAGAAGAGAAGAAGGCTTCTGTTTACCAACATTAATCTCCAGTAATTAGCCAATTACCAGGGGGGGAGTGTAGCCAAAACAGACTGGTGAGGATGGTGGAGGTGGGGAGCAGCAGCCCTTGCAAGGCTGAACTGGGGCTGGGGCACACTGCCTGGGAATGTGACAGCTTCCAGAGGGGAGGAGACACTGGGAGCCCTAACCTGCAGGGGTTAACAGACCCCCCTCCCCTTCTCGGCATTCCCATATTGCCTGTGCCCGACTAGCCTCCAGACCCAGACAAGCTGGCGTGGGATGCTCCAGCAGGCACGGATCATAGGGCTGGTTTTTAAAACTTTATTCACTTTAAAACCTTTATCAGAGACACGGTTCTGTTCTAGGGTAGGGGTGGCCTTGAGAGTGAGCTGATGTTACCCCTTCTCCAGGCTGGAGGCCAAGGCCAGGCTGGGGAGGCGGCCTTGGGCCTTTCAGGGCTCACCCCAGATGGAAAGATTTGGGCCACTCCAATGGAGGATCGAAGTTTGGGGCTCCAGCTTCCCTTCATCCTGGAAGGGGGTGGGGCAGGGGGTCCTCAAGGGGCTCGTCAGAGGATGGGGAAGCAAGCAGCCGCCTCTCCATCTGGCTGCAGGGAGCTGGGACAGAGGCCAAGAGGGGCCCATCTGTCGCCTCCTGGTCCTGCCAGCTCCTTTGAGCAGGCTGGGCTGGGGAGGAGGACAGGGACAGCTGTCTGGCCCGGGTCTTCTTAGACCAAGATGGGAATGAAGGCCACTCTAGGAGGGTGGGAAGCTGGGGTGTTTGTTTTTTGTTTTTTTTTTTTTTAAGGTTTTTGATTTTTTTTCCACTTCTTAAATAAACATGAATATATATATATTTTTTCTTTTATAAAACTTTCATGGAGTTGGGGTGGGGTGGGGGGCAGTGGGCGGCCTGGCCTCCTGGCATCACTCATCATCAAAGTTCTGACTCAGGAGAAAGTTGGCAGCCAAGTTCTCGTTTTTTTCACACGCGAAGTAGGCCTGGATCACCAGGCTCTCTGGGAAGCCCAGGGCCTTCAACTGTGGGAAGACACGGGCCGGTATGAGCAGGTGGGGTGGGGGCACCCGGCCCACCCATGCAGTCACCCCTTGGCCAGGCCTCTTACCCTCTCTATAGCTTCTTTCTCCTGCGGCGTCACCTGGATGTAGTTCATCTGCGGAGCCTCCTCGCCTATGGCACCCACCTCACCCTCCACGTCTGAGATGTCCGCCAGCTCCCCAGGGGGTTCATTCAGCATCTGGATGAACTGCTCCTGGTGCCGGCTAATTTGCTGTGGGAGAAAAAGGGGAAGGGATGGCGACCCATAGCCCTTGCCCCCTCTTCCCAGGTCACCATTTCAGCCCGTTTTTTCATTCAGTCAGCAAATATTCAGAGGTGCCAATATCAGCCAAACACAACAGCACAGCGGTGGACATGAGGCCCCCCCCCCCCGCAGCTGATGGACTATAAGTGAGCAAATAAAGGGACCAGACAACTGCAGTAGTCGGGCTAGAAGGATGCTAGGGGGCCAAGGGAGGGGCCTGCGGTCTCTGGGATGGGGAGGGGAGGAGAGGGGCTCCTCCAGGTAGCACAAACAGCAAGTGCAAAGGCCCTGGGGGTGGATACATTTGGCAAATCCCATAAACAGAAGACTCACCTGGCAAGAACAGAGTAAAACAAGGAAGGAGGAGAGGGGCAGAAGATGAGACCAGAGAGGAAGGCCAGAGCCGGACCCACTTTGCTCTGGTGCAACGGGAAGCCATGGTGGGGGCCATTAAGTGGGGAGCAGACACAATCTGCATATCTTTTAGGGAAGTTAACGTATCCAGGTGTTGGGTATCTAAAGGTTCTGCTACAACCCTCTCTACTTTCGTCTACATCAAACAAGTGCTTTTTCAGTCACCTGGCCCCACGTCTAGCCTAAAAAGCACTTTCACAGAGATGTCAAGTTGGCTACGGGTGAGCATGGCGTCCAGAGAGGGCTGGGCTGCTCGCACAGGTCTGGGAGTCATCGCCCAGACTGAGGCCCCCAGGAGGAGCACTGAGTGCAGTGAAGAGGAGAGGTGGGCAGAAGCATGAGGAACTGAGAATCGAGGGGAGAAGCAGCAGATGGTGGGTCCCGAGCCAGGAGAGGGAGACACTTCACAGAGGACCTAGGGGAATGTGCTACACTCCTCTGGGCCCCGAGGACCCTGCTTGTACCCAGGGGCCCACTGCCTCTCTGCCTGTGAACCTTCAAGGGCAGGATGGAACCTCAGTGAGCACAGTGGTCCCAGAGCCAACTGGGACACAGCTGTCCTGGGTGCTGCCACAGAGCCTTACAGACATTTACACAGTGCCAGCTGTATGTGGAGCTGGAGCCAGAGCCTGGCCCAGGACCCAGACACGCTCCACCAGCTGCATGACTCTGGGCGTGACAGGCTGCCTTGAGCCTCTGGTGTTTTCTGTGGTGCGTGCTATTAACAGCACCCGTACCTCACAGGGCGGTGGGTTACAAAACAGGTCACAGGAAGCATGGGTGGTGGGGAGTCTGTCCTGGCATAGAACTATATATACACTGTGGGCTGTGGTGCCTGCAGAGCAGGGAAACGGTGCCCGCCCTGGCTCCGTATGCCCCTGGGACCGCACCTGCAAAAGCTGAGGGTTCTCCTGGCCCAGCTGCTGGAGCAGAGCAGGCAGCAGCGCCGGGTTCTGCTGGATCACCTGTCGCATGTTCTGGAACTGGGGCTGGTCACGCAGGAACTCCAGGGGGTTCTCTCCTGCTAGTAGCAGCAAAGGGTGTGGTCAGACACCATGCTAGGCTCCCAGGGCGTGGGGAGTCGGGTGCCTTGCCAGCAGACACCCCACACACACCTCCCGCCCGCTCACCTGCTTCTGTAGCCGGCTGCTCGGACACCTGGCTCTCCTGGACAGAACCGTGTTCTGGCTCGGGGCTTCCAGGAATTCCCTGTCAGGGGTCCTATTCAGCTCTAATGCACAGACCTCCCACTACCTCCCTCCATGCTCTGGCAGGAGCCGAGGGAGGCCTTTGCCCCGCCCTTCATAAGCCCACCACCCACGCATGGCCAGCCTCCTGCAGGAAGCCTTTAGTGGCTGCAACCACTACTCAAAGGCTTTTCAGAGCAGGTTTGCCTCCCCGAATGCCCAGCAGGGCAGTGAGGCCCATGGACTCCCTCAAGGCCTCCCCAGGAGGCGGTGGCCCCACCTCACCGTGAGTAGGTACTCCACGGCTCGGTGGGGGTTGTTGTAGCTAGCTCTCAGGGCGGCCACGACCCGCTCCCGCTCATAGCCCATGGACATGATCTCCGTCAGCATCGTCTCATACTCAGAGCCAGTCACTGTGGAAGGAGCAGCAAGACCTGGGTCACCAGGAAGAGGCAAGGGGAGCTCCCAGGCCCTCCCACACACAGACAAGGCCCAGCTGATGGCTGGATCACCCAGTTGCCTCTGCCCTGGGGACCACCCACCCACCTAGCGTGGAGGCCGCGTCTTCCTCTCGCCCGCTGCTACCTGAAGAGGGAACAGAGCTGCAAATTCAAGAGAGAGAAATCGGACCCTGGCTTCTGGTGGCTTGCCCTCCCTCCAGGTGTATGGGACCACGTGTGTGGGCGCTGGAATGTGCTAGGACGTCAGGGCCCAAGCTGAGGCTGCTGTCCTTGCCTTACCCTGACACAGACTCTGGGGACGTCGTAGGGGCTGATTCCTCTGATGGACTCTTGTCCTCTCTGGCAGTAGGTGAGGGATGGGACATGCCTGAGGCAGGGGCAGGCGGGAAGGAAGTGGAGGTCTCCAAGGTAGCAGTGGGTGAAGCCTCCGGGGGTGCTGAGGTACCCTGGCCAGCTTTGGCCTGTGACAGCAAGAAAAAGGGAGCTGGCGTCAGTATCTCTATCAGACCCCAACACCCTACCTTGTTGCGGCCCCGCCTTGCTCATAGCTAATCTCTCCTAGGCACACAGGCTCTCTGCCAGCTGCCTGGCCAATCCACCCACCCTCCCAGCCAGCACGTGTCACCCACCTTGGTCACCATGACAACCACAAAGTTCTTCTCATCGATGCGATAGTCCCTAATGGGGACATCATCACTAAGGATCTTGCCGGCATAGATGAGTTTCTGTCCAGCCACAGGAAAAGCGTCACGACCCTTCTCAGCTTCTATCTTCTCCTTTAACACCTTCACCTGGATGGAGGGGGACACACGATCATTGCAAACCCCAAATTCTCTTCCCTTCTAGTTTGGGGGGCAGAGCCTGCAAGCCCCAATGGCAAGGAGGCGAAGCGTTGTAGTCAAACAGGCTAGATTTGAATTTATTCAATTATCGTGCCATTCACTAGAGTATTTTCTGAACTCCCATTAAGTGCCAGGTGCTGTTTAAGGCACTGAGGCTGTTTTAGACATGGAGGCCACAGCAGAGAACAAAATACAAGTCTCTGTTCTCAGAAAGAGAACACTAATGTGAGAAGAAACACAAGTAAGTAACTTGGGTGGTGTAACGTATGATGAGAAATAAAACAAAATAAAGGAGAGAAAGGAGGGCCCCCCCATTTCCACACTGGTGACCGTGGACAGTAATGGTGATCAATATTTACTGAAGGCATTCTAAATTGATAGAGTTAGCTACAGTAAATGTATATATATACTTTTTAAGCTTCATAATACTATAAAATAGATATCACTGATCTCATTTTATATTTAAGAAAACTGAGAAACAGAAAGGTTAAATAACTTCTCCAAAGTCAAACAGTTGAGCTGATCAAAAAAAAGTTTCCTTTTCTACATAAAGTGCACTTAAAAGCCAGGCATGGTGGCTTATTCCTGTAATCAACACTTTGGGAGCCCACCAGGAGTTTGAGACCAGAGTGAGCAACACAGCTGGACCTCATCTCTATGAAAAATAGAAAAATTACCCGGGCCTGGTGGTGGGCACCTGTAGTCCCACCTACTCCAGAGGCTGAGACAGGAGGATTGTTTGAGCCCAAGAATTTTTTTTTTTTTAGAGACAGTCTCACTCTGTTGCCTGGGCTAGAGTACAGTGGTGTCATCATAGCTCACAGCAACCTCAAACTCCTGGGCTCAAGTAATCCTACTGCCTCAGTCTCCCAAGGAGCTGGGACTACAGGCACACACCCCCATGCCCAGCTAATTTCTCTGTTTTGTAGAGATGGGGTCTCACACTTGCCCAAGCTGGTCTCAAACTCCTGATCTCAAGTGATCCTCCCGCCTAGGCTTCCCAAAGTGCTAGGATTACAGATGTGAGCCACTGCACCCAGCCCAAGCCCAAGAATTTGAGGTTATAGTGAGCTATGATCAGAGCACTGCACTCCAGCCTGAGCAAGAGAGGAACACTCAGTCTCAAAAAAATTAAAAAAAAAAAAAGTGGACTTTGATGTCTTTCTCATGAGGTAGGCGTGCAAAAAGTGCCAAGTATACAATTTGATATTCAATGTGGTTGAATTAAGTCCTAATTCTCCTCTCAGCTAAAAAGGCAGCACAATGTTTAGACTTCGGGCTCTTACATGAGGCAGAACCGAATTTGAATCCCAGCTCTGCCATTCCAAGTTTTATGTGACCGTGGCAAAGTTCTTTAACCCCTAGGTTTGCATATCTGTAAAATTCGAAGAGTCAGAGTTCCCAAATGACAACCCCATTTTGCACATCAGCAAAACACTAACACGCTCAGTGACTGATAAGGAATAAACGGCCAACAAACACAGACCACCAAAACTATTAAGACTGAGACCGTTTATTATCACTATCGTCGCCGTTGTCGTCACCGCTCAGCATCTCCTGGTCATTACTCCCAGATTCGCCCACCAACGTCCGAAGGAGATGCCTGCAAAGCTGGGAACGCGGAGCCCCAGTCCCGGAGAGCTTGGCCTGGCCGGGAATCTGAGCCTGTGGCTCCCGCGTCCCGCGAGAGCGCTGACATCGGAGCCGGGGCCTGGCGGGCGCCCCGGGGGTGGGGCCTCGCCCGGAGAGCTGCCCAAGAGCGCCGCCCGAGCCGCCAGGGGCTGGGCCAGGGACCATGGTGGGGTTCCAGGAAAGTCCGACAGGCTGGGGGGACGGGCAGGGCTGGGCCCGAGACATCCTCCCTACCCCTCCCGTTGGGATCCCGGCCTCCCCGCCCCCACCCCACCCCCGGCACCCGTCGCTCCCGCCCCCGGGCTCCGGCCCGGCCCGCACCGTCTCGTCAGGCTCCATGCGGATCTTGAAGGTCTGCTGCTGCAGCGTTTTGAGCGTGATGGTGACGGCCATGGCGGGGCCCGAGCGACGCGGCGGCCCCAGGAACCTCACACAACATGCAACTCACGCCGCCGCCATCTTAGCGCCCAGCCGAGCCGCGCGCCGACCGCTTCCGGGGCAGGCGATGCGCGCGCTGACCACCAACGCACGTGACCCGCGCTCGCCCTCTTGGCATTTTTGGGCATGCGCACGAGAATCCGCTTGGGTCACGCATGCGCAGACCAAACTCTGCCGTGCAGGAGGGGACGGGCTTCTTGCTCTGCCCGCACACCTGTCACGTGGCTTCCTGAGTGACGCCATGCCCGTTAGCGGTGACGTCATGTGGCCGCAAAATGGTTCCAGTGTCCCCACTTCTACGCCCAAATGAGTTTTTTAATTGACGTCGAACAAAATTTTTCATGTACCTGTATTTGTTATAGACGTTTGTGTTTCTTCCATAAAAATCTTTTTCCATGATTTTTGCCTTTTCAAATGATTTTTATTCTGGACTGACCACCTTGGCAGTAACCCGCTAGAACACTTAAAGTGAAAGTTACTCAAGACTAGAAAGGATACCGGAAAGGTCACCAAAAATTACTGAAAAAATGTTTTTAGTTTTTTTTTTAAAGAAGTAGGGAGTCTCTGTCGCCCAGGCTGGAGTGCTGGAGTGCGGGGCGGGGGCAGTTTTGTGGCCTCCTTCATTCATTCTTGAAGATCTGGATTTTTGAAATGAACCTACAGTTCTAGTTCCCAACTCCTACTGATTTGTTAACCCCTCTATCCACAGTCTGACCCCAAAAGTAGTTAATGAAGATGTTCACTTTCAATGTCTCCTTATGTTGAATACATAATTCAACCCACCCTAGATGCACCAATCCTGGAGGCTTCCCAGAGGGATTGGGCTGGGTCACAGGAACCCAGAAGAGAAGCATGAAAGAAGACAGGCTAAGGAATAGGGGGAGTTGGGGCAGGGGTTAGTTCACCTGAACTGGAGGGTGCTTTAGGGCAGCAGTCCCCAACCTTTTTGGCACCAGGGACTGGTTTCATGGAAGACAATTTTTCAATGGATGGGGAGGCCACAGGGGTTGGGGACCGCAGCTTTAGGGAACTGGATGGAGGCTCAGCTGGATCTCCCAGGAAGGAGCTGGTGTGTGGGGGTGGTGATTGGTTGCAGAGACCAGAGAGGCTGGGGCAACATTCGCATGTCCTGAACTGGCAATTACCCTCCAGACGTGCTCTTCTCAGCATACCCATCCATTCACCCAAGCCAGGCAGCCACCTGACACCTCACTGATTGCCCAATTGTAACTCATGCTGCTTTTCCCTCCACTGCATGCCCAAGCTTCCACCAGTTAGCCAGGGCCAATGGAGAGCTTCTTAACTCTCTCTGCTGCAACAAGGGACAGAGAATTCCCCTCATTCTCCTACCCACAATGGACTTTTAAGTGGCAGCCTCGAGAACCCTAACAGAGGTGACCTGGTAGTCCAGTTGTCTAGTAATCCAGGCCCTCAAACTCTGCTCCCTTCCTTGGGCCCACCTCTTTCCCAACTTGCCCTTAAAGACCATGGGTCCCTGGGCAAGTTACATACCATCTCTGAATCTATTTCCTTGATTATAAAAAGAATTAATATCTTTGAACACCCCTGGCTGGTATAAAAATGTTTGAAATTGTGCAATTACGCTATGTAGTCTTGTTTTTTTTTTAAGAGACAGGGGTCTTTGATGTCACCCAGGCTGGAGTGTGGTGGGGTGATCATAGCTCACATGGAGCCTTGAATTCCTGGGCTCCAGCGATCGTCCCGCTTTAGCCTCCCAAGTAGCTGGGACTACAGGTGTGCACTGCCAAAACTATTTTTTTGTAGGGACAGGGTGTTGCTATGTTGCAGAGGCGTGTCTTGATCTCCAGGCCTCAAGATGATCCTCCTGCCTTGGCCTCCCAAAGTGCTGGGACTGCAGGCATGAGCCCCTGAGCCCAGCTAGTCTTGCTCCTTAATATGCAAGAGATACATACGGCTCTGTAAAATGTACAGGTATGTGATGGTGGCCAAGATGTGAGTTCAAAACCCTGCCCCAACCCCCTAAGTTGAGGACCTTAGTCATCTTAATCAGACTGGTGTAAGAACCAAAACTTACCAGTTAGGTGCAAGGACTCTGAGTTACACATGGAGTATTTACAGCAGCAAGTCATTCTCTCATTGGTTTGGGGGTTATCAGGTAAATAAAGGCCCCTATAATCTTGCGGAACACTCAGCCAACCTTTTAGCAGCAATTGGAAAATGAGCCTTACTCAGGAGTTACCCTTGAGCCACCAGGATCCCTGGGCATCTGTCCTCCCCCAGAAGGAGACGCAGGGGAGGAGACACAAAACTTAATTTAATAGAAATTGTTTGTAATTCTTACATTCTCAGTGTGAGCCCAGCTGGAACCTGCTGCCCCACCCAGAAGTGGCCCAGTCCTGGGGGCAGCGGAAGATAAAGGGAGGGGGTAAATGGGAAAAGCCCCAATTCTTTCTCAGTGCTGGGGGACTGGAGATGCCACCCTCTTCTGCCCCTCTCTGGGCTCCAGGAAGGAGAGAAGGTGGAATCTCAGGCCTGTGGCTTCTCCTCCACACCGCTGCCCCCGGAGTGGAGAGAGGCTAAAGGATCCGGGAGAGACGGGCACAGAGGCAGGAAAAGATGTCAACTCAAGAAAGAACGGGAAGTGAGGGATGAAAGAGAATCCAAGACAAAACACTAGTTTAAAAAAAGGGGGGGGCACAGAACCAAAAATTCAACCCAAATCTGAACCCGCCTGGAAAAAAATGAAAGTTCTCGAGTCTCATAGAGACATTATTTGGCGCAGCCGGCTCTGCGGTGGGGAGCGCTCGGGCCTCAGTCCAGCCCCGGAGGCAGGTGGCACAGCCTCTACAGCTCGTCCTTGGCCTGGCCAGGGGCATCTTCCTCTTCGTCATCCTCCTTGTCCTCTTCGTCCTCTTCATCGTCGTCTTTGTCCTCCTCGTCTTCGTTGTCCTCAGCCTCCTCTTCCTCCTTGCGCTTCTTGTCCTCCTCCTCCTCTTTGAGTCTCTGCTCCTCGTCCTGTTTGTCCTTCATTTGCTTCTCTGCTGCCTGCATGCATAGACCACACGCCTCAGCACCTGGCGCCTCTGCCAGCCCTGCCCACCCCCCAAAAATCGGGAGCAGGCCCCACCTTTGTGACGCCCCACGTCTCATTGCCAAACTCCTCGGCATATGCCTCGTCGTTGGTGATGAGGAAGTTGTCAAAGATGGTGCCAGACTTGACCTGGAAGAGATGAATGGAGGAAGGGGTAGTCAGAGGTGACACCCGCTAGCCCTGGCTTTGAACAAGGCTCCCAACCACGTTCCCATAACCACTACACACTGCTTCCTACCATCTGCTTCTGCCAATAAGGGTGTTAACATTCCCAGCATTGAAGCTAGAAAAGATGGAGGTTGTGGGGCCACACTGCCTGGGTTCAAATCCCAGCTCTGCCATTTCCTGCCTATGTGACCTTGTGACTTCATTTCTCTGCAGCCCAGTTTCCTCATCTGAGACTCCACACCCCTTAGTCAGTTACTATTCAAATACCTGCTACCTACCACGATTTGTCCTAGGCACAGAAGGTACTACAGTGCCCAAAACAGACAAAACAATTCAGTTCCAGCTAATTTTATGCCTTTTTGTTTAAGAGGCAGGGTCTCGCTCTGTTGCCTAGGCTGGAGCACAGTGGCATGATCATAGCTCGCTGAAGCTTAGAACTCCTGGGCTCAAGCGATCCTCCCGAGTAGCGGAACTACAGGTGCGTATCACCACGTACAGCTAATTTGTGTATTTTTTGTAGAGATGGAGTCTGGCTATGTCACACAGGCTAGTCTTCTACCCCTGGCCTCAAGCAATCCTCCTGCCTCAACCTCCCAAAGTGCTGGGATTACAGATATGAGCCACTGTGCCCAGCCCCAGCTAACCTTCTAACTGGGTTATCTGACCAGCTTCTAGGTCATTAGGGGTAGTTAAATAAGTTCATTTGCATAAACATTCCAGGAATTACTTGACACGTAATAAGAACTCAAAAGGGGACAGAGCAGAAAATACCTCAGGGAAAAAAACACCATTTTTTTTTTTTTTTTTGAGACAGAGTCTCACTCTTTTGCCTCGGCTAGAGTGCTGTGGCGTCAGCTTAGCTCACAGCAACCTCAAACTCCTGGGCTCAAGCGATCCTCCTGCCTCAGCCTCCAGAGTAGCTGGGACTACAGGCATGTACCACCATGCCCAGCTAATTTTTTTCTATATATTTTTAGTTGTCCGATTAATTTATTTCTATTTTTAGTAGAGACAGGGTCTCGCTCTTGCTCAGGCTGGTCTCGAACTCCTGAGCTCAAACAATCCGCCCGCCTCGGCCTCCCAGAGTGCTAGGATTTCAAGCGTGAGCCACCGCGCCCGGCCAAAACACCATTTTTGAGTCAGACCTATCTGGGGTTGAGTCCTACCCTGTCCCTTTCCTCTTGGTTAACTCTGAGCACTTGAGGTCCCCTAGGGATCCTCCTTTTCCCTCTGTGTCTCACCTGCCAGAGATCGAGGCCCAGCACAGCAAAGCTGTCATAGGTGTAGATGTTGGGATCAGGGGAGTACTCAGGGTTGTCGATTTCTGGGTGGATCCAGGTGCCCTTGTAATCTGGGTTGTCGATCTGCCGGGGCTTCCACTCGCCCTGTGGAAGGAAAGGGAATCAGAGAGTGAGTGAGATGCACCCCCCCACTGTGAGCCCAGCCCTGTTGACAGCTCCCAGGCCCACCTTGTACTCAGGGTTCTGAATGACTGGTGGTTCCCACTCTCCATCCATCTCTTCATCCCAGTCCTCAGGCTTCTTAGCGTCAGGGTCAGGAATGTGCTCAGGCTTGTCCCAGTCCTGGGAGGACATGAAGAGGTCAGACATGGCCCAGCTGTCTTCCACACCCTCCGAGGGAGAGAGCCCCTACCCAAGTACCAACCTCGGGCTTGGAATCTGTGGGGTCATCGATCTTGGCCCGCTCGTCCCAGTCTTCCGGCTTGGCAGCATCAGGATCCTTTATCTTCTTGGGTGGCAGGAAGTCCCAGTCATCCTCCAAGGACCCCGACTCCACCTGACTGTTGTCGATCTTCACCTCGTACGTGTTGTCTGGCCGCACGATCAGCGTGTACAGGTGCGTAAACTCATCGTCCTGAGGAGGGCAGGAGGTGAGTGGCCCACCTCACCAAGCTGGCCTTGGAGCCTCCCGACAGCCACCTGCAACCACCCCCAGGCACACCTTGCAACGGATGTCCTTGTTGATCAACACGTTCTTGCCCTTGTAGTTGAAGATGACATGAACCTTCTTGGTGCCAGGGCCACAGATATCGGGGCCTAGGCGAGAAGCCGATCAAGTTAAGAAATCAGAGACTGCCCACCATTTCCAGGCCCCCACCCCCATTTACAAAAGGAAAACTCAGTTCTTAAACTCGGGTCTGTCCAGGCTGAAAAGATGAGGTTTAGAACCTGACTCTGCCCTGATGGGGCTGTGGGCGGAGCCTTAAGTTAAAAAAAAAGCAGTGCTCTAGAACTCAACATCCTTATTTCTAAATTTGGAAGATACCTATGTATAATTACACAAACTAACAGAATAGATCTACAATCATAACACAATAAGTTGCAAACTGTGACCTATCCCTTTAACTTCTCCTCCAGAGAAAAAAACTAATTATTCAAGTCCTTTCTATGTTCACAACATCACCTTCCTAAGTTATAAGGAACTCACAGGGTACCAGTCTCCCTCCAACTAAAGGGACAGAGGTCAGCACCAGGGCACAACCCCTCACCAAACATGATGTTGTACTCCGAATCTCCGTGCATGTCCGTCTGGTCCAAACCATCCGGAAACAGTTTCACGTAACCGCCCCCACAGTCAATGTTCTGCTCGTGTTTCACAGTGAACTGCACCACCAGCGTCTGGCCCTTGTTGCTGAAGGGTTCAAATCTGGCCGACAGAGCGTAAAAGCGGGCATCCTGGCTAGTCTGCAACCCTGAGATGAGACGACAGTGAGGTCACTGTTGGGCCCTGACCCCACCAAGGACCCTAACACCTCGGAGGTACAGCCGACTCCCCCCTTCCTCCACCTCCCCTGCTACAAGGAGTCCTCCTGGATCTGAGTACCCATTCCCAGGCTCTTACCTTTATCTTTCTCCTGGTCACCGTAGAACTTGCCGGAACTGAGAACGAATTTGCCAAAATCTGACTTGTGTTTGGATTCAATCCAGCGGTGGGTCCACCCATCTAAGGGGGTCAGAGGATTAAGTCAGCTCAGCCGGGCTAGAACGCCCCTCCCCCCCACCAAACATCTGCGGAGAGCCACAAGCTGCTGGGGGCAGGGAAGAAGATCCCCCGATTCTCCCCACCCCAATGTCTAGTTTGACAACTCGAGTGGCTTAAAAGATCATCAGGCGAACCCCAACTCCCGCCGCGGGAGGTCGCCGCGCCCTCCGCGCTCCCCGGGGACACAGAAGATGGATCGCCCGCGGCTGTAGTCCCGAGGGGCCACCGTGTTGGCCCTCTGAGCGGTAATTACAGACGTAAACGCAGATCCGGGCTAGGGGGCCTGCCGCGTCGTCTAGGCGGCTTCGAGGCGGAACCAGGCGTTACCTCCGTCCAAAAACTGCTCCTTGAAATAGACCGAGGGCTTGGCGGCGGCCAGGCCGAGGAGGCCGAGCAGCAGCGGCACGGTTAGCAGCATGGCGGGCCGAGGGGGCGGCGGCGCGCGGGCCCTTTAAAACGATCCTCCAGCAGCGGCTCTGCAGTACAGACCGACGCCGCCGCCCGCCTGGCGCCTTTATACACGCCCGCCTCTCAAACCAACCTGACCCGGCCCTTACGCCCGCCCCCTACGCTTTATCATTGGTCCGAGGCTACGGCCCTTCCTTTCCATTGGACCCTTCTCGGATCAGCAGGTTCGGCTGTGCCTCGGAACGCTGGGTTCCCAGATGGCCGATTTCTATTGGCTGCACCACCGGCCAATGAGGCTCGACCACGCGTTGTGGGGGACGCCCACTGGTAAGGTGGGGGCCATGAGCCACTCATTGCAGGTCATGTGACCAGACCTGAGCCCAACCCCGCCGTCGGCCGCGCGCGTCGCTCTCCTTCTGGGCGTTGAAAGAACCCGCGCGAGCGCAGGTGTGTCCGCGCGGGACCGGGACCCTTCCGCAGCTTCGCCCTCTCCCATTCCCTCTACGTGGAAGGGGTGGGCAAGGCTTTCCTAGCCACTTCTTACCTTGCACTTGGGGAACCCCCACCACAACGTTCCCCCTCTCTCCACCTAGGGTGGGACAGAGCTCAGGAGCTGGGGCTGTGGGGCTTGGCTGCTCCCCAGTGCTGCTACCGCCATGCAGGCCGGGGAGACATTGCCAGCTCTCTCCTACTTCCGCCCCCTAGCGCCCCGGCAACCTGTTGGACTCCTGCTGTGTGACCTGGGGCAAGTCATTCATTTAGCCTCTTCTGAAGGGACAGGCGCGCCTGAGTGGCCTGGAGGGGCTACCCTGGCCAGATGCTAACCTGGCCAGATGCTACCCGGCAGAAATGCTTTTAAAGTTTTTAGAGCTGTCTCAGGACAGGGGAAGCAGCATAGATGTGATTGTAGGCTGTGGCTCCTAGGGTGGGGATAGGGTTATTACCCTGCCGCTGCCGCCCCTTTACTCTCCTCTCAGCGGTAAATGAAAGGGGTCGCTGCCTTGTGGTCTCCCACAAACGGCCTGGCTTTTGCAATTAAACGGCTATAGGCCAGAGAGTAGGGGGTTCCGTTTAGGGAGGAAAAGAAGACACAGATGGCCCGGAAGATAACGTCCTAGGAGAGATGGGCAGGACCCCTGGGTCTGGAGTCTTCTTCTGAATCCAGAAGCACATGACTGACACCAGCACCCTGCCCTCCTGCTATGAGAGGAGGAAAGAGAGCTTGGGGTTTTCCAAACTCTGAGCAAATGGGCGCTGGGCTTGGGGACACTGGAGTGGATTGTGGAAGGGGAAGGGAGGAATCCAAGCAAAAGAGTGGGGAGGGGATCTGTTCTCGCTAGTGGTAGCGACTCAGAAAGGGGAAGAATGAAAAAAAGGGAAAAAAGAAAAAAAATTACTTGTAAAGGGCCTTTGGTTAAAAATAGAAGAAAAGGGAGAAATGAAGAGTAATGGGGAAGTTGGGTTCTGCGCCTTCTCTCAGGCAGTATCCATTATTGCCTAGCCTGCCCCCAACCCCCTCAGGAGGCTGCCAGTACCTTTGGTGACCACCCTTAGGCCTGCCACTGACCTTCCCACCTTCCCTCCATTCCTGTGTAATGCACACCTGAGCTTGGTGCTTCCTGCCCAGGGGTAGACACTGCCTGTCTTGTTCCCCTCACGACTCCCCCAGTGTCTCCTGCAGCACCTGGCACAGAACAGGCTTAAAAACTAATTGCTGGGTGACTTAAGGGACACATCCTGAATATGGGCCCTTACTGTATGGTCAGAAATGGGGGATATCAGTAACCTCATATTACAGGCTCAAATAACAATTGTGATGTTAAATGAATAAATGTGTTCTGCCTAACACACGGTCCATGCATAATTTAGTATTAGCAAGTGCTGCATGTATGTGTGGGCACTGTATCACTTAATCCTCACAATAACCTGGGCTCATGTCTCCAGCTGGGCAAGAAACTGAGGCACAGAAAGATTCCACGATTTCGCTGAATGACATAAATGGCAGATCTGGGATTAGAATCTACCTGTAATGTCTCACATAGTTGCCACTGGCCACATATGACTGCTGACCATTTGAAATGTGGCTGGTCTGAACTGAGATGTCCTGTAAGTGTAACATACACATCACATTCTGAAGGCTTCATATGAAAAAAAGCATAAAATATTTCACTAGTCATCTTTGTATTGAGGGTTGAAAAGTAATCTAGATGTACTAGGTTAAATAGTTTCTCAAAGTTAATTTGACTTTTTTTTTTAACCTTGCTACTAGGACTTTTTTTTTTTTTTTTGAGACAGGGGTCTCATTCTGTTGTTCTGTTGCCTGGGCTAGAGTGCATCATTAGTTCACAGCAATCTCAAACTCCTGGGCTCAAGCTATCCTCCTGCCTGAGCCTCCTGAGTAGCTAGGACCACAGGCACAAAACACCACACCATTCGTTTGTAAGTTACATGCTGCTTTCGCCAAAAACAAAGAGAACAGAAAATTAAATAAAAGAGACAATACCACACCCTGGTAATTTTTTAGTTTTTTGTTGAGACAGGGTCTCACTATGTTGCTCAGGCTGGTCTTTTACTCGTGGCCTCAAGTGATCCTCCCACTTTGGCCTCCCAAAGTCCTAGGATTATAGGTGTGAGCCACTGTGCCCGGCCAGGAAATTTAAAATTACATTTGTGTCTCACGTTATATTTCTATAGGATAGCACTAATCTAGACTATACGTTATTGCCCTGACATACTGATTTTATCAGAGCATGGGAATGGACCTGGAGGGTTATAATTTCTGACCCCATTTCTACCAAGTCCCTGTAGAACCTTGGGCAAATCATTATCACCCTCTGAGCCTCAGTTTCCTCATCTGTGAAATGGGGGTTATATCAGTATCTACATCATAAAGTTTTGGGGAGAAATGAAATAATATACCTGAAGTACTTGGCACTGGGCTGGGCACATAGGAAGCAGTCCATACATGTTAGCTGCCACCTTAACTATTAATATTGGTAGGTGAGTCCTTCAACCCTCTATAAATGGGGAATGGTCCCTACCCAGCCTCCCTTTGAAAATTTCAAAGCAGTTTACATGCGAAATGACCATCTTGAGAGCCCACCAGTTACTGCCGTCCCCCAGGGCAAAGGAGAATCTCAGAGGAGCAGAGGGCTCCCAGGCTCAGAGAGGGTGAAGTCCAAGGTCACACAACCCGCTGGAGGTCAGGCTAGTTGAAATTCAAAACAGAACTGTGCTTCTGACCTTGAGGTCACCTATTTTACCTCTTTGGTCAACCAGAAGCCAGCGGATGAGCCAGAGTGGAGATAGGGACCGAGTTCTTTGCACGTCTTGCAGCTCTTTTGCCACACCCAACATGGCGACGCACTAAGTTCTACACTGCAGTGGCCACACTCAAGATGGCGGACCAACTCGGGTTTCCGGATCCGGTTGTTCAGGCTGCGGCCGGGACACGCCGCGCGTGCTGGAGGCAGCTATGGCGGATGGTCCGGTGGCGGAGCTGCTGCTGCGGCGGCTGCAGGCGGCCGATGGCGGCCTGGACAGTGCGGAGCTGGCGGCCGAGCTGGGCGTGGAGCACCAAGCGGTGGTGGGCGCCGTGAAGAGCCTGCAGGCGCTGGGCGAGGTGAGCCGGGCCCCTGATGCCGGGCGCCTCGCTTTCGCACCTGCAGTCCCCTTGCCGCAAGGGCCCTACTTCCAGGCCAGACTCGCTCAGGCTTGGTTGGGGCTAGGGGTATTGTACGTGTGTCCGCGCCGGGATACGCAGGAGGAGAGTCTGGAACGAGTGAGGGCCCGGACGCACGGGTGTTCCTCATGCAGTAAACATCCATTAAGGAATGAATGATCAGCTGGGGGTGGCGGTGTACGATGGTGGATAAGGAAGACGCGGTTGCTGCCCCCATGTAGGTGGTGATCTAATAGGGAGGTGCTCAAGTGACCAGAGTAATACTGGATGCACAGGGAACCCAGCGGTAACAGCTCACCCAGCCTTGGGGGTCAGGGAGAACGGCCTGAAGGAAGTGACAGCTGAGTCAGGTCTCTGCACGGTGGAGGAAAGCCATGGCACTTGAGGGATCAAGGGCTGGAGGTTTGGGGAGTGACAAATGGTGAGACAGACCAGCATAGCCAGAATTGCAAGACCTTGTAGGTCTTTTCGCCACAGGGGTACTGGGGAGCCATAGCAGGAGTTGGAGCTGGTGGGATGTGCCATCTACGTCACCTTGGGAAGAATCGGCAGGAGCAAGACTGGAATCGGATTGGATGAGAGCAGAGGCTGGCACATACCCAAGCTAGAGGGCATGATGTCTGGCTGTGGGTAGGCAGCTGAAATAGGGAGTGGGCACTGCCTGAGATTCCGGACAAGGCTTGGTTGGCGGGG